CTTTGAAATAAAGCAAAAATATATTTAAAGAGGGATTAACATAATGCTCTATTTCAAGGGTTAATTGTGAGAGTTAACAAAAATAATTACATATATTTTTTAATGGCATGAAATTTACCGTTAGTTTTTTACGTTCATAGAAATTTGAAAAAGCTTTTAAAAGCTTGAAAAGCAAATATAAGGTGCGAAATATTCAAATTGTATTAATTAAATTGAGCGTATTCTCAAATAGGTGAAGAACAACAGATAGGGAAGTTTTTTTGAAGCAGTAACTGCATAATTATTTCATCGTAAATATGTCCAATCCTGGAAATAGTTTCGTATGTGAATGAAAATAATTTTAATGGTGCAGTAGGTATACATAGATTATTTTTAAAAGCATTATTTTCACTTGTTGAAAGGAAAAGTGTTATAATAAAAATCATAGGTTTGACCCAACTTTATTTCTTTTTTCTTGCATTGTATTCTGTATTAGGCTGAGCACTTTATTTCTGAGCAGCATTGGTATACCTTGTTAGTGTCAAATCGAGACCGTTTTTAAATTTGTTACACTGATTCAGCACTCTGTCAGCGAAGAGACTGTCTCAACTTTTATAAGACGAAAGATGAGCATCACATCCGCGGTATCACATCTGCTGCTCAACGTTGATAAATTAATTAATTTGAGCGTTTTCTCAAATGGATGAAGAACAACAAATGGGAGAGTTCTTTTGAAGCTATTTTCATATGGTGGAAGGGACCTCAAAATGTAAGAATAATTAATCACTTCTGACCAGCGTTTAATAAAACCAAACAGTGGACCCGCTTTATAATACTTTATCATATTTTAATCATACACCTTGCGATACTTTAATCATACACAAATCATGATTAGCAAACGTTAAATTATCATCAAACCAAACACCCAAAATCATTTTGCAGGGCAACTGTGTTACTTAAGGAACGGATCTTTTTGAAGATTTTATATTTTCAGATCACCTAAATTCACAATACTTCCCACAATATTTATTATTTAGTGCATTTGTAATTGTCGCATGCTTCGATCTCAAACCCATTTTGGTTTGGCGCTGGCCACCTCACCTATATCCACCTCTTATAAAATCACCTAAATAAAACTTGTCCAATATCATTAATTAAAATGATGTTACGCTAATAGGTCTAAGATCTTTTGGGTAGCTCTGTGAAATTCTCCCGGTCCTAGGAATGAAGATCACATTCTAGTCCCACGTTGAGAAAGGAGGTCCAACTGGGCAGAAATCCGACCTAGACAAGGCTAAATAATAAGGTAGGCGCCAAGTATCCGACTAATCCGTTCGTAACTGTGCTATTTATTGGGCCCCCAGCCAAGCTGATTATCGGCACGCGTCGTATAGCTTCTTAATCTGGCCCAAAGGAGTTTGAAGTGATAGGAATCAATAGGAGGGATATGTTGGAAAAATGATTGATGATCTTTTGCTATCAGACCTCTCCCCGCGACGAGGTAGATAATAACGAAGGAAGAAAAAATTTAGCAAAAACAAAATAATGATATTATTCAAATATATGTATGCCTATCTTTGTCTTTCGATGATATTTTATCACCTATATTAAAAAACTATATAAATATTAAAATTTAGCATTTCAGAGTTTTTCGCTCGAATAATAAGAAATTAAATTTTAAATACATATGTACATAAATTGTGTGTATAAATATAATTTTTTTAAAATTTACAGACGAAATGTCATATTCAGGACAATAACAAATGAAGCATTAATATTCAAATGCCACAAAACATCTGATATCTTTGGTAAAAGCTGACATTTATTTAAGCTTGTTTAGTTTTTTCGAACTAAAAATATGTGAGATCAGTATATTTTGGAAAATTGTTTATTTCTCGGTTTGTATTTCAAATAATATAAAGTATAAAAGAAAAACGTGCTTTTTTTATACAAAAATTTCTTCAGAAAATCTTAAAATAGAACTTTTTCTGGGTCGCAAAAAGCAAAGCCCTATCTAATGCCTTTTATTCCATGTCTCTAGCACTTTCAGAAGTACCGGGACTTTTTGACACCTCAGAAGTAGCTTCAATGATGATGCTACTTCTGAAGTAGCTCAGACGATGTTCACAGCACAATAGGTTCGGAGTTACAGGGACTTAAACTCAATTTCGACTGAGCTTTTTACTTTTTGAAATTTTAAGTATAACTCCGCGACTATTAAAGACAGGTGCATTAGCAAATATGATTTGGAAACCTCAGAAAAAGAGTAATCTTTTCAGATTTCGGAATCACATGACTCTAAAACTCCATATATTTGAAATATTAATTTTCATTTTTAAACAATATTTGAAGTAACATTTGTACTTTTTCCAATTTAAGCACAGGTGGCAAATCTTATTTTAAACAAAGTTTTTTTCTTTAGTGACTTAGAAAAATGTACAAAATTCGTTCAAAGTTGTATTTCTTTTCTGTTATGCAAATATTCAACTTAACAACCGAGTTTTTATCACATATGCAAATGCTAATGGCCCGAAGGATATCATATCGCGCCTCTTATTGATACAGTCCTATAAGTCAAATTTGATATTAAGTTTCTTTCACAGGCGTTATTCTATGGAGATAAGATTTTGTTACAGGCTTAAGAGGAAATTCTTAAAAGAGTTCATGACGCTAGTTTTAGAGTAAGCATGACAGCTTTGGTCCTCTCTTCGTAATATGGATATAGATCGTATTGAGACTAAGCAGAGCCGTTTCCTTCGTTTTACTGATCCATTTAGGCTGCCCCTAAACGTGGTTGCTTCGATTTTATTGGGTCTAATTTCGTACAGAGAAAATTCTAGTGAATTGAGGTCGGTCGAGCTTTCCAATTAGCCGCATAGGATTGTACGGATTATGGGATATTGGGCTCGAAGTTAGCTTGTATTCGTCTGTTTTTTGTACTAAGTGTTATAATTAATATACATTTGTAAAAATTTGGTGAACTTAGCTCAATTAGTTTTTGAGTTGTCGCTGGGACGGACAGCCAGACAAGGCTGATTCGACTCAGAATTCGACGTTGATCAAAAACATACACTTAGAGAGTCTATATCTCTGACCATTATTTCTTAGCGTTACAAACAGTAAGGCAAAATTAGTATACCCTTCGAACATACGGGTATAAAAATATCAACTAATAAAGTTAAGACAGTATGCATCGGCCTTTATTTCGTGGAAAGCACATTTGAAATTAAGATCAATTCGTAAATTTGATATTGGATAGAGTTCTTAAAAAATTCAGCACAAATTTCACTAAAAATTTTACTAACGAATATGTTGTTCCTCTGAAAGCAACTTTTAAATATTTTATATTATTTTCTGTAAAGTCACTGATTTTAAACTGAAAGTTACTTTGAAATATTTGACAAACTTTAGAATAGAATTGATATAACATTGCTTAGGGGTTATGCAGATATTTGAAAGTTTTTTAGTACAGTTAATGACTTCTTTAGTACAGCTTAGTTAATAAGAGGTTAGTTAATAATTATTAATTTAGAACAATTTCATTAATAAGAACAGTTTAGCTTATAATTTCTTCAATCGCATATTATGTTGACGAGTTTTTTTTAAATAACTGTCTTCAGCTACATAAGCTCTCAAAGAATGAACGATACCATTAAATTGTCGCACATAATATAAAATACCAATGATTGATAAACGCTTTGTCTGCTCTTTGAGACATTTTAATACATGAGTACGGTAGATAACAAGAGCTATTTATAATACTGTGAAATTGGCTGGGTTTAAGTTTCTGAACTATGATCCTCAAATTCATTCACAAAACTTAGGCATTTAAAACCTTTCCATTAATAATTCTTAAAATAAAATAATAATTCTTCTGAGTTGATCATGCTTCCGAGAAAACTCACAATTTGACACTTATACCAATTGAATCTTAAACTGTCGTCAAAACATTTGTCTAAACTAAGTTTTCATCTGTTGTTAGAACATAAAGCAGTAAAATTATCGAAATGTTTCTATAAAAGCATACAATTGTCATCAGCGACCACAAAATCTGTGAGCAAATGCATAAGATTCTGCTACAATACAATAATAAAATAATTAATCTAGAAATAAGACAAAAACCAAACGACTACAATGAGAAGTTTGTAGATCTCGCAAGCAACATACAGAATTATAAACCTAATTACATTGTAAATTTTAAATAGATTTTTCATGATTGAAAAAAATGAAAACAAAATAGTGAGTGTTAATTTAAACGAAAATGGGTGAAATATTGCACATTTTTTTTTATTTTTCGACGGGTCAATTGCGTGAGTTAAGAAAAATAATCATATTTTTTGGTGAAATGGTATTTACCTTAGCAGAAAGCTAACGAATTTTTGGTTTTCTGCATTTGTTGAAATTTGAGAAAGCTTTCAGTTTCGGGAACAAAAGCTGCCAAAAACTCGAATTTTTCAAATTTCGAGAGGCAATAGCTGAAGATAAAAAAAATTTCTTCCAACGTTATTTATTAGTGTCTAAAAGCCGTAAAATTTTTTACAACCTACAGCCTGAGGTCTAAAAGGAAAACGATATCAAAAATTTTGAGAAAACGGTTTTTAAATAACTTAAATTTTAACGGCGAATGTTAAATATGAAAAATACCTATTTGCGTTTGCAAAATTTAAAAATGCCTATAGTTGCATTTAACCAGCCCTCAAAAACCGGGTTTTGGCGCTATAACTTTTAAAGAGGAAGAGATGGGTAAACATTTTCTTCTACGGAAATAACTTTCTAGAAAAAATATATAGATGTACATGAAACTTCAGTTTTCTATCTTTAAGAACATAGAAGTTTTGTAAACATATCCACGGACAGGCGAAGCGACGGACAGATAGAGCGCTCTAAACTAATAATCACTTTTTTTCAAAATTTTTTTTTGGAAAAGTGCTGAAAAGTATGAAATAGAATACAATGTTACTTATTAAATTAAAGGATATTAATTTTTAAATATAGCTAATTTCATTTAATACTTTTCTCAGATATACTGCAGACGAATTTGGCTACCATCCCATTACTGAACTTGATATTAATATTCCAAAGTAAGTACATAAATAAGACCTTTTGTTATGCGTTTTTAAATTTATTTACGATTGCAGCATTCAGGATCAAGATTCTTTACTACAACCGATACGATTAATTGATCTTCACAAATTGAACAATGTTCGTTATAATGTTGATGAGAGTGATAAGTTTCAAGAAAATCATGGATATCATTATTCGGATCCAAAAGATGATTCATTTAAGTCATATGCCTATCCACCTCCCTCACCTGATTTGTAAGTGAAATTTTTAATTAATTCACAACAAAGGTAATACAAAAACATTTTCAAAAAAAGGGATAAATTTAAATAAAACATGTAAAGTTAATATAGTAGACAGTTATTTTATCGCATGAATATTTATATGGAAGTAGTTCAGGGAAATAATGCATTTATTTTCATCTTATTTTGTAGATAACTGTTAATATACATAGAAATCCGCATATTTAAATTTCTAGTAAACCAGTCGATCTCAAACTTCTAGTAAAAGTGGTAGTAACGCAATGGTGGTAACGCACTTCTCCATAGAATGGAAGTGTATATAAACTATTATTAGCAAACTGTCGGTCCGTCGGTCTGTCGTTCCGTCGGTCTATCGGTCTTTGTGTGCACGCTTCTTCTTCTTGTGTTGCATATTCTTTACAAAATGTTAGCGTCATATGATAGTTTGTGTGATTTGTTTGTACCGCTCCCTGTCCCTTGCTGATTCTAACAGTGCACCAATTTCCGATATGCCAGTCCAATTCCTAATATTTCGGAGCCAAGACAGTTGCTTTCTACCAACTCCTCTGCGTCCTTCGATCTTCCCCTGCACGATGGGCTGCAACATCTCGTATTTCGCACTCCTCATTACATGGCCAAAGTATGCTGTTTTTCGACGTTTAACAGTTGTGATTAGTTCTCTTGTCACATTCATTCTTCTGAGAACCTCCTCGTTCGAAACACGGTCTACCCATGAAATCTTAAGCATTCTTCTATATATCCACATGTCGAATGCTTCCAGCTTGTTCATGTCTTTTACTTTTAATGTCCATGCTTCCACACCATATAATAAAACAGACCAGACATAACATTTAACGAAACGTATCCGCAGCTTCATGCTGAGGTTCTTGCTGCAGAAAAGCTCCTTATATTTAAGAAATGCCTTCCTGGCCATTTCAATTCGGCACTTTATTTCCCCATACAACTCCAGTCCTCGTTTAGCCAGCATCCAAGGTACTTGAAAGTGGACACTTTTTCGATTTGACTGTTGTTAATTGTAATAGTCGCATCAGGATACGGTTTTCTATTTCTGCTAACTATCATCAATTTTGTTTTTTGAGTGTTGATGTTAAGCCCAAAATTGTTACTGTAGTGGTTGACTCTATCTACTATATGTTGTAAATCGATAATATTATCAGCTATTAACGTCGTATCGTCAGCATATCTTATATTATTTAAAAACGTGCCATTGACTTTTACGCCTACATCCACATCAGCTAGTGCCTCCACGAAGATAGTTTCCGCATATAAGTTAAAGAGCATTGGTGACAAAATACAGCCCTGACGTATACCTCTTTGAATTGCAATGCTATCCGTTAAGCCATGTTGAGTTTTTACGTTAGCTGTCTGATTCCAATAAAGATTTCTGATACAGTTTATAGTTTTTTCTTCGATATCTAATGCACTTAAGATTTCTATCAACTTTTCATGCTGCACCCTATCGAAAGCTTTTTCGTAATCAAGGAAACAGAGAAAAACATCCTTCTGAACATCTCTGCAGTTTTGTACCAGTATATTTACGCCAAAAAGAGCTTCTTTCGTGCCTGTGCCTTGTTTAAATCCGAACTGCGTTTTTCCCATATGTGCTTCACACTTGGAATACATTCGACTTTGCAGTATTTTAAGAAAGATTTTAAGCGCATGACTCATTAAACTTATCAGACGGTGATCTTTACAGCTTTTAGCATTCGCTTTTTTCGGTAGTGCAATAAATGTCGACTTTAGCCAATCTTCTGGGAAATCACCTGTGTCATAAATTTGATTAAAAATGTTGACCAATATATCTAAATTATCATAATCTATTAACTTTATTATTTCTGCTGGTAAATCATCCGGACCTGTAGTTTTATTGTTTTTTGATGACAATACGGCCTTTTTAACTTCTTCTTTTGTTATTGGAAATCCAAAAGGTAGTATGTTAGTGTTATTGTTGTTTATTGTTCTCCTTTGATCTTGAAATAACTGTTGAACATAATTTTCCCAGGTTTTTTGTTCCTCATTTACATCAGTTATAAGTTGACCTGTTTCGTTTGTTAATGCAGCGGTAAGTTTTTTATGATTTGTACCCGTGATTTCTTTAATTTTTTTGTGGACATTGAAATCATCATGTAGACGTTGCAGTTTCTCTAATTCGTCACATTCTTTCTTTAACCAATCCTGCTTGGCACGCCTAATTTTAGCTTGGATACCTCGATGAATGCGTTTATACTCCCAATATTATTGTTTTTGTATTGACGCCTTACATCCATTTTTGCAAAATCTCGTCTGTCATCCATTTCTGTTTAGGGGAATGCTTTTTTGTACCCAGGATGTTTCGTGATTTTTCTTTAAGGATATCCCTTGTTTGTGCCCATAGATCTCTGTTGCTAACCGATCTTTTATTTCATTGTTTTTCAGCTTTTCCATATCCAATTTGGTTTCTCGGTTGGATCTCTTTGGTCTTGCCAATTTGATGTTTATTTTGCCCACCAAAAGATTGTGATCCGATGGAACGTCGGCACCAGGGTATGTGCTTACTTTCCTAATGGATGAGCTAAGTCGTTTATTCACAATAATGAAATCAATCTGGTTTCGCACTATATGTTCACTTGAATCTTGTGGAGATCTCCAGGTATATAATCTTCTTGCAGGTAAACAAAACCACGTATTCATAATTTTTAAATTCTCTTCCTGGCAAAATTGTACCAAACGATCACCCCTTTCGTTTCTAGTTCCTAGAGCAAAACTCCCAACTACGTCTTTTACTCCTCCGGTACCAACCTTGGCATTAAAGTCGCCCATTATGATATTCAGGTCGTGAGGTTTTGTTTGTTTTAAAAGATATGTTATGTGTTCATAAAACTCTTCTATCTCATCGTCAGGTTTATCCGCTGTTGGCGCGTAAATTTGTATAATATTAATTGCGATCTGTTTTGAATCTAATTTCAGTAACATAGCTCTATCCGAAAACGGCACGAAGCCGGAAACATATTTGGCGATTTCTTCAGACAATATTATACCGACGCCATTCCTGTGCCTTGTATTGTTATTACCGGAATAATAAAATTTTGCCCCATTTATACAACTTACTCCGTTACTTGGCCACCAGGTTTCGCTGATACCAAGTATATCAATTTTTAATCGATTCATTTCTTGAATAGTGTTATGGATTTTTCCTGGCTCGAACAGACTGTTGACATTCCACGTTCCTATTTTTACTGTAGCTTTGGTTTTACCTCCGGGGATTCTTAGCACCCTCTTTTTGCCGGAGACTGAGGGCCGTTTGTTTTTTGACGTATTCATATGATGTTTCCAGGGATTATTACTCCAGTGGTTTCCCATTGCCTTCTGGAGAGTTTACGATAGTTTTCTTTCTTTTTCATCAGCCAATCTTTAAGAGTACAGACGCTGTCCGCAGCCGCCTACTATAGGAACAGACGCTGCCATATATTATTTCTTGGCCCTTAAATCTAAACGTAGAAGTGACCCAAAGAAACCCCCAGTTTTGTTTGTTGCTGACTCACCTACACCATCAGGGTTGGTTACCTGATCTTTCGAATGAGTTGCTCAGCGTAACGGGGAGGACCTCGTGAAGGTAAAACTTGGCGTGGAGATAGCATAGGCTGTGGTTGATGTAACTGGAACCCATCAAGCTAAGTTCCGCATACTATCCCGTTCCCCCCCCATGTGCACGCGTGTATCTCAAATTCGACTGAACCGATTTTGATGAAATTTTATATGTAAGTTCATTTCGACTATGACACGGATTGATCAACTTGTCGGATATATCAGGCCTCGAGAACTGAAATTTTTAACGAGCTTATTTTACAATTTTTATGTATATAAACAAAAATAACCAATCCATCTCATTAAAATATGATATTAAAATTTGAGGTATTAAAACAATGAATGTATAAATTTTTTTGAAAGATCAGAGCTCTAAAACTGATCTGGGCGTCGATTGTATATTTTTTATATCTACGGAACTAATTAGCAGAATTTCTTGAAATTTAGTATTGAAGTTCTGGTTGTCATAAGAGGTTCGTCGGTAGACGAACTTTTTGTAGAATTCGATTGGCATAAAATGAAACTCTATTAAGAGTCAAATTTGTATATTTCTAAGAATATTAACTAAAAGCTTATTACTATAAATTTGTATAGAAGACGTATTTTAATAATTTTTTTGAATGCTTTTAGTAATCTAGACAATATACGACAATATTCGTTTATATACTGAATAAATAGACAATATTCGTTTATTTACTGATCACATCAGATTTTTAATATGCTGTGATTGTTAATTTAATGTCGGTTTTAATAAAAAAAAAACAAAGTTTTTAAGCTCCTAACACTCTTTTATTTTTAGTTATATCGTTTCATTGATGGTTCTTGATATTTTATGGTTTTACAATTATATTGATATGATTTATTTATAATTATATTGATTTGATTTTAGATAACCATTCATACATTTCGTTTATTACATATAAAATAATTCCTGTTATTTTATAAATTAAATGTTATTGTTCCAAAATTTTTATAATTTACTAAACTTGAGTTAATATGTACTCTAATCTTCTTTGCAATTTGATATAAAACTTTGATTACTGTCAACAGAATTTCAAAACCCAAACCAGTACTCAGTTTCTAATTGCTTAGTATTCAGCAAACAATATTTAAGAGAATAAAATTTGGAAAAACGTTATGTCAGTATTCTGTTTAGTGAAAGCTTAATATTAATTTTTGGGAATTTAAAATATAAAAACAAAAGTTAAATGTTATGTTATTTTATGGGAATGCGAATTCGTTATTTTCAAAGAATTCATTTAATTATTAGAATTTATTTGTTGCTTTCATTAATTAATGTGTTCGTCAGTAATTTTGGATAGGGTCTTTATTTGATAATGAATTGTTTATTCGTCATTATAATTCATTATACCTGTTATACAAGGTGATTCAGCAACAACTTCGGAGCCTTATGTCAACTGGTAGACAGTCGCAAATTAATTTTTGTTGGGAACATAGTGCCAAAATGGAACCATTTCGGAACTAAATTTTTCCCTGATTGCCGAATGCCTAACCGATGGTATCTGGCTCCTAACTTTTTGTTTTGAATCACCATGTATAGATTTAGTGATTTAAAACGGTATACAACAAAAAGGCTAGAGGATCAAAAAATGGGTAAAATTTTTATATGAAAATGGGTATCAAATATTCCTGTATCGCGGATTTCCCAGATACAAGAATTTTAATGAGTTTTCATGCAGTTTCTACATGCCAAAGTTTTTTTGCTTATAACTTCTACTTTCAAAAAGATACGATCAAGCATTAATTAAAAGTGGAGAAATCTTTATAAGAATGCTACAAGCATTATCAGAAAAAGCCTTTTACATTTAGCGATTTTGAAGATCTTTATAAAATGTATAAGATCGAAAATATATCACTATTTATGATTTTCTTTAATTTTAGATGCCATAATAAATTAATATCAATTTTTGATCATAAAATAATCGTTTTAAAGGGACATTGACATTTTTAGAAGCCGTTATTTTGATAAAAAAAATGAATTTCAAAATTTTGAATTGAAATAAAAATTTGTTTTTATTTGATGTTTTTTGGAACTTTTGTCGTCAAAAAAACCTTTTCAGGAGTTCTGTGAGGAATTGTGAGCAAGTTTTTAGTCAACAATATAGATATTTATAAAGACCTAAGGCTTGTTTTGCTCCCATCACCAATGATAAATTTTATTTGTTGGAAAAAATTCTAATAAAAATAATAATCTGAAAATTCAGTAAACATCTTAAAAATTTCATTTTTGCAAGAAAAATTTTATTTTAATTTTTAATGAAATAAAATAAATATTAAGATTTTATCTTAAGAGTTAGTTATCTTAATTTTAAGAGATAGTTTTAGTTATCTTCTTCTTAAAAACTTCAACTGCCATTTTTAATGCCAATTTTACCTAGGAATTTTGCTGTGTTTTGGATTGATACTTTAACACCATTCAAACTCAATTGTGATAGGTTCACTAAATTTTGTGCGTGAAATTCACATGTACAGATTTACTTTCATTTAGCCTTATTTTTCATGTATTTGTCTATTTTCTTATTGTTACTTACTTGCTGTAACTTCTATGTCGATTCTTCAACACTTGATCTCACTAGCAATATTGCTGTAACGTTAGCAAATGTGGCCAAAGCTACACCTTCTAAATCTGACAAATGGCTTATATAATAAAGGACCAGGAATACTGCTTTGAGGCACACCAGCCCTAAGCGTAGAGTACTCGTCGTCCTGTTTGATTCGGAAAACCTTGTCAGATAAGTATGATTCAAGTAACTCCACGAAGTGCAAAGGTATCAATTTCTTAAAAGGGCCACGTCCAAAAATATTGACGAATCTATTTGCCTTTCCTGTAACGCCGTTTCCACAATATATGTCAATTGTTGCATGCTTTGTTCTAAAATCAAACTGATAGTTTGGAATCAATTTCTTATTTTATACTATATTCACAAGCCTTGTTAACAACAATTTTTAAAAAAGTTTTTATATCATTACTAATAGAGAAATCGATCTATATGACTTTACCTCACTCAAGGGTTTCCTCGATTTTCCCATCAGAACAACTTGTGCTACTTTCCAAGCACTATGAACATATCTCAGGTTAACTGCTGCATTTACCAATTTTTTCCAAAGAGTCCTAGCTTTTCTCGGCAACTGCCTAAAGTCTCAGCAGCAATGAGATCAAAACCTGAGGCCTTATTTGGTTTAAGCGACTTAATCGCTCAACAAATTTTCTTTTCATTAAATAACGCCATAGTGCTTTCATCCATATCAAAATCTTCTGCAAAAGAAATTCAGTTCATTTGGTTGAAAACATCCTTGCAAGCAAATAGTTCAGCTTTATCCCTGTTGCATTTTGCCCATGATTCATTTGCTTTTTTTAGTGGGGGAATTCGATTTATTGGCTTCTTGGTACTCTTCGCTGCTTTCCACAACAAATTATTCGTGTTTTTAGTTGGCGATAAACCCTTTATATAAATCTCGTATGATACTGATTTAAAATTTTCTATTTTTCTTCTGAGTATTTAATTCACAATCATTTTATAGTCTAGGTACCGCAACACTTGACATTTACGTTTAGCCCTTTTTTTTGTACTATTATATCGCTTATGTCCTTAGGATAATTATTCGATACAGGTTTCAATACAAGATTCCGCCTGAAAAAATACAAGATTCTGTGAATCTTCCACCTCAAAATCTAGTTGATCTCTAGTCAAATTAAAATCATCTTCCAAGTTCAAAAAATTTGCTTTTAGACACAAAAAAGTTAATAAGATCCGGGACGTTGTCAGCATCAGTAGGCAGTAATAAGTCGGACTGACAGTAGAATGATTGGAACATCCCAATACTCGAATGGCTTTCCTTAGTCATCTACCTCTAGTTGAGGTCAATATTGGTGGCCCCAATCCACGTCTTTGGCATTATAGTCACCTCCCAGTAAAAATCGGTTTCTCCCGCGCATAGCCGATACTTAAAAAATATCCTTTTTTATGTAATATCCCGGTGGACAATATACTAAATCAACATTGAAGTTCTGCTTGGTAAACTCAATTTTAACCACAACAAATTGAACTATAACATCTGTAACCCAATAAATTCAAGTCTTTCCCTAAGTGTGTTTCTGAGAACAGGCGTACAGCTCTAAGGAAAACCTCCAGTTCGTGCCTTTTACTAAGAACGTCATTTGCGTTTCATGTACCAATTCATATTTTATTTAATTACATTTTTCAGAAATCGCTTCCGGGTTACTAGATACACGTAAGTGTATCTATTCTCCATAGTAGTTAATCTCATTAAGATTTTTTCAGTACTTTGTCTTGCGTCATTTGCTTATACTACCGTCAATTTCTTTAGGTTTTTGCATTGTATTTTTGTCAATTTCTTTATTGTTTATGGCTTTCTTAGGTCTTTATCTATATAATTTTCTGCCATTTTGGATGCCATTCATGAGTATGTAACACCATTTTTTACCTTATTTGATGTGGAAGCATTAATAATTTTTGAGGCCCCTTCATGATTACCCATGACCCGTTTAGTCTGATTCCTTTTCATTCTCCATTTTTGTAATTCCGTATTCAACAAACAGCCTCGGTAACTAGCAGGGTATTACATTCTGCCGTCATATGATTACCACCACATTTAAGAAATTTAGCCGCTTTTTGGCCAAATCTTTGTTAATGACCAAACGTCTGGCATCTCTTGCATTGCAGAATAGATCCATTAATTCTAAGAGGCTCAATAGACAAGAGGAGAATAGATCCATTATTTCAAGAGACTCGTGTACTCAAAATATTCTATTTTATTTACTTATTCGTGATCGCAGGACAACATAAAAAGGAGCAACTTTTTAATAGTATTTAAATCATTTTGCTTTCTTTTTTTAATTTAATTTATAACACTTTCGCTCTTCAATCCCCTTTATCTACTACTTTAATTGTCTTTAATTTATTTTCATAAGTATGCCATTCCAATTTGACCTTATTAACAGCTTTAGTTAATTGTCTTTATTCATTTTCATTTTCAACATTTATTTTTAGTTGACCGCTGTTCATCATGTTTGCCTTGACGTTAATACTTTCATCTTTGAGAATCCTTATTGGCTGTGCGTAATTAGTTACATTACTTACTATTACCGGCGTTATTTATTATTTTTCTTGTTACATACTATTAACCGGCGTGAACCCTTGACTTTTTTGAGTCTCTTTTGGTTTTAAAAATCCAAACGCTTTCTCTAGCCAAATTGTTCCACATCTGTTTCAAACACGATCACACATATTTTGTCTTTCTCGGTGCCTTTTGAAACGGCAGTCTGCTGTCACAATAACCTTTAATTTTCTGCCTTAAGTTTGCAAATTTCTTTCAGCTCCTGACACAGGCTCTATAAGTCGCTTATACGGTAATCGACCATTGGTCCCTAATGTAACGGACCTGTTACATTACCTTCAAAGGTTTTACTTTTGTTGTCTTCTTGGACCTTGTTTCTATATAACCTTCTATGGTCTTTCTTCTAACTTCATTGCCAATGGGTTCATCAATTTCGCTAAGTAATCTTTTTTCCCACTTGCGACTTCTCTGAACGTGTCGAACATTCAGCCAAGCACTTGCCGAAAACCGTGGCCTCTGCTGACGCTTTTGTAGATATCCCTACCGCATTTATATTCTTATTATTGGACATTTCATTATATTAACCCAGCCACGGTTCTTTCCATTTCCGTCCTTCTGGAATTAAACACAGATCAGGAAGCCGTCCATTCTGGATGAGACATGCCTGAATTTTGTACGGATTTTAGTGAACTCATAGCACAAGCATGCCTGCTGTGCTTCCCAACCCACCGCGAAGTCATAAATCAATTATAGCAACAATTTCCTTAATTTATCCGTTTTATGAAGGCCTTCCAAATTTTGAAATACAAAACTTTCAAAATATTGTAAAAAGAAATTGAAAGGTTATAAAAATTTCAATTGCTTTCCTTTCCAATAGTACATAAGATATAAAAATAATCAATTTGTTATTTTTAAGTCTTCTGCCTAACCTTTCAAAACAGTCCGTTTGAACTTCTATCTTGTTCGAAACTTGATTTGGCACCCATTTTGGGACAAAAATTTTACCTGTTTTTGAAACTGTGCTATTTGGTGAACTTTGTTGTGTAGTGTTCTAAATCACCCTGCAAAATATGCTACTTAAACAATCTTTTATCTTACAGAAATGCACCCCAGTTATTTTTTTGATGGCAGAATAATTAGTTGGAAAAGAAAATTTATAATTATATTTGGGTAATGAAAAAAACAAAAAACAAACTTGTGCAAATTTTAAAAATTAATAAAACCGCTATTTATGTCAAAAAGAAATTGTTTTTTTTATTTTTCAAAGTAAAGGAATTATACAGAAATACAAGAGATGTGAAAAGTGTTCCTTAAAATTTAACTGACATAGCCAAAAGCTTACCGCTATGTTTCATGTCACAAAGTATTAAAAACATTGATCGCAGGAGCTTTTTCAGGAGAACTTCATCTCGGCGTGGTCAGCTGAGTAGTATAAATAAAGCTGAGTACGATGTCTGTCATTCAGCAAAGTGTTTTGGTTAGGTCTCTTCCAGGATGAATCATCAATCCGGATATATTCGTGGGATAAGTAGTGCAATTAACACTCAACTCGGCATGATAATATCAATGCAAACTAAAGTCAAATCATAAGAGTACCAATCCAGTAAGCGTTCTAATCGGGACTAGAAGCAATAAATATCGTCATCAGGATTGGAAACTTCAAAAAAAACCCAGTACCTGAAAAAAAATAGAGGAAAATGAGCAGTTGAAGTAAAAAAGCTATAAGTTTTTAAGCGAAATTTACAGTAATTATATATTGTTATAATAGTTTAAATTTATAACAATATATATTTATATATAAACATATGTAAATATATATTTATATATATATTTATATATTATGTTTATATATTTTTAAGTACTTAACAATGTATGCCATGTAAGTATATTTTTTTAAAGATTCCTAACGAAACATAATATTCAAAATTCTGGGTAGATATACAGAAATAAATTTTGAACACATAGTGTTATTGAATCATGAGGGTAAAAATACAGAAATAAATTTTTCAAATAAGAAAATGGTTTATGCATAAGCAATAAAATGATAATTTTATTCAAGTATACATTGTATGCACATATGTAAGCATTAGAGTTGAATACTTTAAAATTTTTCGTTCGAACAATAAAAATAAAATTTTGAGTGCATACATACATAATAATGAATGAAAGTCAATTTTATATTACATTTATATCCGTACGAACGTATGTTCGAAGGGTATACTAAATTTGCCTTACCCTTTGTAACGCTAAGAAATAACGATCTTAGATATAGATATGTTTTTGATCAGCGTCAAATTCTGAGTTGATTTAGCTTTGTCTGTCCGTCCGTCCGAACGATAACTCAAAAACTAATTGAGCTAATTTCACCAAATTTTCACCAATGATTTATTGTAGTAAGTGTCAGAACCCTATTTAAATTGGACATGATCGGGGTACAGGTTCGGGTAGCTGCCATACAACTTCAAAATTTATTTGGGTGTATCTCAGAAACTATAAAAGCTGTGCTATTGAAATTTCACACAAGCGAATATATTAGTAGGGCTGATGTGCTTGATAAAATTCGTTTAAATTTCTCGGCTCTTTCTGGTAGCTACGACACAACTTACAGTATTTTGAAAAACACATAGTACTGAAATTTTGCATAAATTAATATGGTAATACGGCAACTTAAAGTCATAGTTAGTTATGGCACATTAGTTATTCGCACATAGGATAACAAATTCGTACGGGTATCACAGAGTTGACAAGGTCAACTCTATTTTTTTTCTCGTTTGAATATAAAGAAAAAACAACTTTTTTTTTTAATGAAAGTGTTTTTACAGACCGTACTGTGTAAACAATAGGTAAGCTGTGGTGGCAACAAATTTTGCATATCGAGTTTTCGGTGGAAACGTACTTCTCCATAGTAGGGAAGTGTAAATAAACTATTTTTAGCAACCTGTCGGTCTGTCGGTCTGCCGGTCTGTCGGTCTATCGGTCTTTGTGTGCACGCGTGTATTTCAAGTTCGGGTGAACCGATTTTGATGAAATATTATATGTAAGTTTATTTTCACCATGCCACGGATTGATCAACTTTTGGTATATATCAGGCCTCGGGAACTGCACTTTTTAGCGAGCCTGTTTTACATTTTTGAACATTTTGAAGAAAATATTCAACCGATTTACTTTAAATTTTATATGTAAGCTCAGCTCGACCGTCCGCGAAAATTTCTATGCTTTGGAAGAAATCAAGCATCGGCAACTAGACGTTTACTACAGGCCAAACATACATTTTTGTGTATATAAAGAGAAATGATCAACCGATTTCATTGAAATTTAATATATGAATTCCTCGTATTAAAACAATGAACATATAATTTTTTTGGAAAGGCTCGCAAACTGATTTGAGGGTCGATTTTACATTTTTCACTATTTTGAAGAAAATATTCAAACGATTTACTTGAAATTTCATATATGAGCTTTGCTCGACCTCACCAACCGAAAAATAGTGAATCCACAACAAATTAACGTAAATGGAACGAACGTAGCGATCCATAACTCAGCAAAATACCTAGGAATGACTTTAGATGTCAAGCTAAAGTGAAAGGAGCATATAAAGAAGAAACACATAGAATTAGAAAATAAATATAGAGAAAATTACTGGCCCCTAGGTCGTAAGTCCAATTTGTAAATTGATAATAAAATATTAATTTATAGTCAAGTCATTAAACCAATATGGCTATATGGCATTCAACTGTGTGGTTGTGCCAAGAAGACTCACATTAATAAAATTTAAACCTTCCAGAATAAAGTTCTACGGGGCCGGGTAAATGCGCCATGGTATATACGTAATAGCGATATCCACAGGAACTTAGGAATTCATTTGGTTGTGTATAAAATTAGAAGTTGTACTACAAAGCATAGGGCTCTTCTAGAACATCATGTAAATATGGAAGCAGCTCGGCTGCTAACCATTGGCGTTATGACAGAAAGACTTAAACGAACAAGACCATTCGATTTAACACGAAATTCCTTATGGAAAGTATTTAATTCCTGTACGGAAAAATCAAGTTAGTGCGGAGGTAATAGTTGGTCTGTAGGACCAGTTTTATCCGTTCAGAGTTTAGGTGGTTTTTTAGAGTAGGAGTCACGCTCCCCCACTGTCGTAGGAAAAAGGCAGATAGAGCCGTCCTTCTTCGTTTTTTAAAATTTTTTCACCTAGTAGAAAAAAAAAATTTAGCACAATTAGTGGATATTATGAATTTTTAAGAATACGATTCAGTCTTAAAAATAACTATTTCAAAGAAGAACATTTCGATTGCTTACAGAAAATCTTCAAGACACTAATTTAAAAACACAACTTATTAAATTCGAATTCATGAAACAAGAAACAAAATTCTTGAATCATATAGTAACCGTAGGGGAAATATCCCAATAAAATAGAGGCACTAAACAAATTTCCTATTCCTAGGACCACCAAACAAATAAAAAGTTTTGTTGGTTTGATGGTTACTATAGGTTTTGCAAAAATTACCAAGCCTACTACTGTTTGCTTAAAAAAGCAGAAACTTTTTTTTTTTATTTTATTTTTTTTTTATTTATTCCATTTCATTTTATCTTCACAATTTACAAAAAAAATACTAAAAGAAAATTTTATATCTAGAATATATATTGCTAGTTTAATTCCTTATAAAGGAATCTCTAAACTATTTATTGTTTTTCTTGTTTAGCTCTTTTGATCAACATTTTTTATTTTTGATATTTTTTGTTTCTTAGTTTTACATTTTCATTTTTATTTTTATTGAAAAAAAGTGGTAAAAAATCAATATTATTTTATTGTTTTTATTTTATTTTAAAACTTAAGGGCTAATTAAAATTAGAAAGAAACGAAGAAAAGAAAGAATAAGAAAAAAATAAAAAAAAAAATAAATAGTTTTAATCTATTAAAGATTAATGTATTAGCTAATATCAATTATCTAACCACCAATAAGTTATTTGATTTTCTTTTCTGTCCTTTTCAGGAATGTACGTATCATATTTGATCATATTGTTATTGTCGTTGTGGTCAAAATTCATGTTTGGTTCGAATAATATTCTTTTATCAGATGCTCTTCTGTAGATGTGATATAAAATTGGTATTCCTTGATCGTTTTCTATATATTTTCTTTTTTCTAAATACATAAATGCTTCTGGTGGTACCCAGCCAGTTACTAATGTATTTTTGATGTATTCTTCTAATGGAAATAACGAGTGATATATGTTTGTATTGGTTTTTATCTCGATCGATCTATCATAATGTCTTCTTATTAATTTTATTATAACTTTATCTATTTTATTAATTCCGCTTCTTTCGTATATATTTTTGTTTGAGATATAATGGGTATATTCTGTTTCCGGTTTTCGGTTAAGATTTGTACAAGACCTTAAACATTTTCTTTCAAATTTTCTGAGTAGTTCCATTACTGATGCACTAATATTAAACCATATTGGTGCTCCATATGTCATAATTGGTCTTAATAAAGCTTGATACGCAACTATTTTCACTCGTTGATCTATGGTTTTGTTAAAAAATATATTCTTTGATATCATTAATGCTTTTCTGGCCTTATCTATTCTGGAAGTTATATGAAATTTAAAGTTCAGATTATCTGTTAAATATATTCCTAGATATCTCACTGTTCTTTTATGTGTTAATTCAGTATTACCCGCTTTAATTTTAAATTTTCTCCAGTTTTTTCTTATGTTATTATTGCATTTGTCCACACTTGGTCTAAAAAATATTGTTTCGTATTTGCTAATATTAATATTTAGTTTCCAAATATTAAAATAGTCCAGTAAGTTATTAAATTTATTTTGTAGCCTATTTTGAATTATAGACACTTTAGTTCCTGAAGCATAAATGATCAAATCGTCTGCAAATGCAATATTAGAAAAATTTTCAGAGTTTTCATTTAATCGGTTCAATATTTCAGTAATGAAAATATTAAATAAAATTGGTGCTAAAACAGTCCCTTGTTGTAATCCATTACTGATAGTATGTTCTGTATCTAAATCTACATCATCTTTTAATACAAATTTTCTATTATATATTATATTTTCAATTAATTTGATTAGTTTACTAGGGAATTGATTTTTTATTAAAATGTATACCAAGCCCTCCAGCCATATTGAGTTAAAAGCATTTTTTAGATCTATTAAACAAGCTCCTACATATTTATTTCCATTTAAATTCCAGCATATGTCTGGTACTAATTTATTCACAG